TGGGTTTTTATGCAAGTAAGTTGTGCACTTGATGTGAACTGACATCTAGTTTTGGTATGGCATGAGTTAACTTTGAATAGAATATACTAGAACAGTATGATTGTATGAGCATTGTTTATGTCAGATAGCAACAGACTGAAATCTACGGTATCAAGCCTTATATAGACGAATCTGTATGTGCGAAAGTAAGGCCTCTATGGCGCGAGTGGCTAGATAACAGAATAAGAAACCCTCTTTTGTGAGGACGTGGGTTCAATTCCCACCAAAAACCACACTTTGGACTGTAGATCTAGTTGGTTCTAGCTTAAAATCTAGACATTAATGATTAGTATCACCTTGTTCATATTAAATGCTATTCATAAGCCAAAAAAAATAAATAAATGCTCAATAGTCCAATTTCGATTTAAAAATCTTAAGTTACAATTTTTCAAATGCGCACAACAAAAATCATCCTCAATATCTTAAGAACCTTTCTTACCTGACCTGTCATTACATTTCAATCCTCTATCCAACTTGACCTTTTCATTCAAAAACAAATTTGCCAAAATATGAACCAGGAAGGAAAAACGAGAAAATTTCATTCACAAAAGAGATGATTTTTTTTGTGGACCTCGTGTAGCTGTCCACTTTATGAATTTTATTTTTCATGAATGAACCGCACAACATTGAATATTGAATTAATGAAATTGAAATTCATAAAAGACAAAAAAAAAATTTTATTTTGAAAGGATAATATCCACGCTTCAAGAAATTCCCGAAGCAAGTCTTTGTCCAAACAATGTACAATAAAGAAATTTACTGGGGAAGGAAGAGAGAAAATGAAAAATTTCTTTGATCTTTTCAGTCTTTGTCGCCTTAATGCTTCTAGGCAGAGCGAGAAACAAAAGGAATTTCCATAAAAGGTTTATCAACGCGAAAAAACTTGTTGTTTGCGGTACAAAAAACCATTTCCTTCGGATTATATTAAGAGAACATGAAGAGGGTTGTTCAGCAATGACGTCTAGCGTTAAGGTTATAGGAATAGAACGAAGTTAGAATTATTTTGTTGATTTCATTAATGAAATTCTTGAAAATTACACTTCTTCTCAACTGTCTAGGCTATATCCATACCTGTTTCAAAATAGACTTGTCTACACACCTAATCTGTACCCTAATTGGCTATAAACAAAACTCGGACTATTCAGAGTACCGTACCTTTAGATTTTACATCGATGATGATTTAACTGTGTCCAACTCAAGTAGCCATGAAGCTGTCCTTGATACACAACCCTGTTCCAAACCTATTCCCTTCCTTTCAACTCAATCTTTGAGTGCAGAGATTCTAAATATATATGATATCTAATTAAGATTTTTTCAAAGACCTTCTTTCTCACATTTTGTGTCTACTTCTCATTTTCATAATAGACATCATTTATGAACAACCCCCAAAAAGAGTAAGACAATATGTAGGACAATGAAACTCTTCCCCATCTTTGCGTTCTTTGCATTATTATAAAATAAGAAAATTACCTTCGTAATAATTTCAATTAAGTTGTAAAAAGGTGCCTCATTGGAATAATTTTCTCCTTAACACAATATTTAATTTAATTAAAAGCTTTAAAAAAATTCCATCTTTCTATAAAGTAAAGAGGCATGGGGAAAACTGTTTATGGTTCATTCTTAATTAATTAGTAAACACCTCGAAATTTCAGCTCCCTTAGCAGCTATTAAATATCTATTAGCAATTAAATTTATTAACCTGGCAATAATTCCATTCACACAGCACCAAAACAATTCCGAGAAGATGAAAGGAAATTTTTAATGAATTAATTTTGTATATTTCTTTTTTTTTTGGCTTCAAAAATAGCCATGCTGCTAGCGGTGCTATGTTTCAAATTGAGAACTTCTGAATAAAAACAAATTCATATCAGCACGGGGCAATTATCAAGTCACGAAATGAACTTGAAGATTAATCTTGATTGATCTGAAAACGCAATCTTTTTAATTTTCTTATTCTCTCACTCGAGTTAATCCGTTGCTTCTGAATTCTAGGGGTTCTAATTGGATGTAGACTTTGAATGAAGACTAATCTTTTGAATTTTTAAATTTTTGAATTTCAACTTCAAAGTGTTAAAAAATCTGCAATGAATCTGAGAATAAAATCAAAGAGTTCAAAATAGAAACCATCATAGATTCCTAAACCTAACCTCGAACATCCTTCATAAGAATCTCTACATACTTCCACTCGAATTTCATGATAAATTCAACATTTCTGTGCATTTCTCTCGCAAATTGCATTTAGTTTCTTTTGTATTTCTTTTTTTCATGTAATTGATTCCGTTTTAACCTCATCTCATTTTCTCATTTACCAAATGACTCGCTGTAAAAAAAAACAGAAATAAATGGACATAAGAAGCAGTGGCAAGATAACGCTACACAACGATTTTCAAATCAACTACTTGAAAGTTGGCAGCATAAAGCGCAGCTCTTTAATTTTCGTTGATTTCTCCTGGTCTTTACTTCTTTCTGTACATTGATGACGGCTGATGAGATAAAAGGCTTGAGAGCAATTATGTGAATGAGCTTTTTTTTTTGTTATACTTATTTCGTGCGCGCGTAGCATGGCTGTTAATTCACGTTTCTTTGTTCATTAATTATTTAGAGAAATTGAACATACTGTGCATTGAGTATGATTGAGTCTGTTTACAAATAATTTAGAGTGATTACTTTATTTCTTATTATATTGGGAGGCAGATGATGCATTGGAGTCATCTAGTTGCATGTAATCGATTCTGTATCATAATACTTTGAGGTTAAAAGTCGTTTGAAGATTGAATTTAAGCACATTTGGATAGTTTCCTGCTCAATCTAGTCGTAATAATTCAACCTTGTTCTGATTCAACCTAGTTCAAACTCAAACTGGTTCTAACTCTTCCTAGTTTAACCTAGTCCTGACTTAACCTAGTTCTGATTTAACCTAGTTCTGACTTAACCTAGTTCTATTTAATTTAGTTCTAAACTTACAAAAAGAAAGAAATTTTGAATTTTATTATCTTTTTTCACTCTGGATGTGCCTGAAAACATCTATTCAACATATTTAATAGCCAAAACAAGCAGACCGAATAAAATAATCAAATCCAACAGCCTATTTTGTTAACTTCCAATACAAAGTGGCATTCAAACATTTTCATTTACTTAATGTAAGTAATCAAAAAGTAACATGAATGGAGATCATGATGCAGAGCTTTATAGCTTTACAGAAGTCGGTGAAACTAACTTTGATATTAAAAATTGAAAAATAAGCATTCGAAAAGTTCAAACAACCAGAACGTTTCTGATTTTTTTTTCGTGAAATATAAATCAGCATAAGTGAAATATTTGAATAAGCTTATAGCATATCATTTTTAGATATAGATATGTAAAGTATGCAGTATAAATATTTTTAAAATAAAATAAAAATCGTCCATTTGTGATGTATGGGATGAAGGTTCATGCACGTTCATTTTTATCTTCAATTCCTTCACGTTCATGTACTCTAAATGTCGGAGAAATTGAGAAAATAACAATAATATTGGTATGAGGAAAACACAAAGATAAATGTTTAAATAGACATCTCAACATAAATGCGTAGATAGAGCCTCATCAGGCTCTGCACGGTGTGTTCTTTTCATGCCATATCATATTTTTTGTTTACACATTAGAAACAGAATAGTTTAGTCAAAATTACAGACGCATATGAACAAGATGTGATGGAATATGGTAAAGATCTATCAAGGGTTGAGGAAGAACAAGTTATGGTGTCTTAATTGTGGTTTTTAATTTTTAAAGTGCATTTTTATAAGATTAGCTATTTTTAAAAGTTTAACAGACATTTGAAATTTGAATTTTAAAACCATACAAATGTTTTGAAAATTCAATAACATTTGTAAGGTTTAAATACATGCTAATCTAATCCAATAGTCAAAATGACCACAACTTTACACTCTGCGTGACATTATGGCTCAAAAAAAAGTCTATGCAGCAACGTCCTAAAGAAATATTTACAAAACACTTGTGCTTATTTATTCTGATGGATGAAAAAAAGGAGAGATGAGATGAAAATGATTGTTGATAAAAGAAGAAAGAATCAACAGATAGTCAGTCAAGAAAGAAGGAGAGGATGTGTGCCTGTGGAGAGAAAATAAATGGTAAAGAAAGAAAGCAGGCAATCATAATCCGTTTTCTGCATTTCATCCTTTGGATGTCCTGTGTCTTTCAAGATTTGTTTAATTTTACAGAGGATGAAATTTGTTAATATTTTTCTATTTTTGCTACTTAAGGAGGTATTTTGGCGACTAATTTTCGGATTCTTTTCGACAATATTTACAGATAAACATTGCAATGTGCACGAAAAAAAATGCTTGCGAAAGAATTAAGGTGTCGGCTATGAAAGTTTGTTTGATGTGGCTACCATTCAAGACCGGATTTCTCTTGATCCTCTTGCTAATGAGTTTTTCGATTGTTCTTCAAATATTGTTCAGTAATTTCAAAAAGAAGCATGCTGTCTTCAGAATTTTCTTCTTTACAGCGTGACTGAATGTTGAACAATATGACGGTTAATAAAATTTTTCAATTTCAGAAATATTGATCTGCAGCCAACTTCAAGAAATTTTTGAATTTTAAAGATACGTTTGTGTGAGATTTTGCTTATTTTACCATTTCCTCATTCTTAATGATGCACAATGTCGATGCGGATGCAATTTATACTTATTTTGGCTGATTAGAATCTCACAGCAGAATGATTAATTGATGTAAACATGAGAATCAAAGAGAATAAGAATTACTAAGGTTTCCTCCCCTTGTTTATGAAGTATTCACTTGTTCCTGTTGAACTCCTTCATTACACAGCATGTGACATATGACATACCATTAGAATCCAATTAGACAACAAGATACAGCATAATTGCATGTTAATTAATGAAATTAATGCAAAAGAAGTCGCGACAAAATTAACGGATTATGCAATTTTAAAAAATCAATCGCAGTTTTATCTCCTTCGAAATAAATTTATTGAAAAATTAGATATTTTTATTAATTAACTTAGAATGAAGCCTTACCGTCGTTTATAAAAGTCTTAAGTGAGTTTATAAGTTGATAATACAGCAAACAATCGAAAAACCGGTTAAGAATTGTGAAAGGATAAGCAGAAAATCAAAAGAAAATAAAATTCCGATAGATGAAATTTCATGTAAGCTTAAAATTATGTTTCTGGTGATTTCCCAGTAAGATTTTACATGTTTTCATTCAATTGGACATAGATGCAATTATGACATCTTGTATTTTACAATCATTCCATCATAATTCATCGATTTTAAGCCCAAATTTTTTTGATTTTATAACCTTCAATTACAATTTTCTTCTTAAAAAAAATTTTGACGAAAAAAAAATAAGAATAAAAAAATTTGTTGATCAACACTGTCCTTGAAGATTTTCGTCATCAAAATTGACTTGCCAGTGACGATGTCATTAATATCCTTATGCATGATAATTGTACGAACCCAAAAAAATTATGATTATACGACTATGAACAATTATTGCTTAATCAACTTCCTGTTTCCCGTATGAATAATAATAATTCTTTTCTTCTTGATCTTCTTGTTTGTTTCTAGTTTACACAGAATCGCTACGTTGAGCGGAAGCCCTAAGTTACCTTATAATGATTGATATATTCGTGAAATCTTCATCTTGTCAAAGAAGTAATTAATTAATTAATTAAAGGAGGATTAGATGTCAACACAGCAACATAACAAGTTATAACTACTTATTATTATGAATATATAATAATTTGATGCTCCTAAGGAGAAATCAGTGAACACATAGTGTTAAATAATTAGAGAATAAGAATTTAAAGTGCTGATTGAATTTTGTGTCATAAAAATACACGATAAAGAAGAGTATATATGTAGTTTGGAAGCTTTATGGACAATTTTTGAGGAATTATCTACCTAGTAAATTTACTATTATTATTATTATTACTATTATTCAACCCCCCTTAAAAATACCCAAAAAATAAGTCCAAGATCGATTTTAAATGCACTAAGGAGGAAGTAACTGATATTCAATAAAGAACCTATTCTTGATGTCGAGAGCACTCAGCAGAACAATGAAATTACCCAATACTGAAAAACCATTTCAGTGTAATGTGTGCGAGAAGCAGGTACTTACCACCTTATAATTATTTTCTTTTAAGTCAGTCTATGGTTTGGAGGCATTCAGAACGAGTTGTGTGTCTTAAACTGATCTATATTAGATTTCTGGATCTAGTAATAAGTTTTGAAAATTAACGGAAATTTCAATTTTAACTTCAAAAAATTCCTGTGAGCAACCCCTTTCAATTTAAATTTTCTACGACCGTTATTTTTCAAAATTTCTCCAACCGTTAATCACTCATCTTGAAATCCAACTCTGATTGTCCTTAATCACATGCATTACAATATCGATTATTAAACGAAAATTAACATCAATTGACTGACGAGAGAGTTGCCTAGTTTAAAATAATTATAGCTTGTAAAGGATTGATGAACAAATTTTTTCACTGTTTTACGAATTTCTCTTCTCGTTTCATGTTCGTTCCACCCTATTCAGTTTCGTCAATTAAGTACACTTGCAAATCACATGAAAATACATACCGGTGAGTAAGATTATATGCATATTACAGCTATCAAGTCTTTAATTAATGACCTTTTATTATTATTCCATTTTCTTTGTATGCCATCGTTTATTCAGGAGAAAAACCTTTTAAATGTAAGCTAGTCTTCGAATTACAATGTCAATCAAATAATTAATGTATAAATTTATTTTTCACAGGCCACATATGTTCAAGAGAATTTCGACAGAGCAGTACCTTAACTAACCACATTAAAATTCACACCGGTATGATTTTAAATAGATTAATTAATTATTTATGCTAATCCGAACATTTTATATTTCTATGTGTGACTGTGCAGGTGAAAAACCTTACAGTAAGTATTTATTGGTCTTAATTTGCACAATTTTAAATACTTAAAATCTCTTGTGATCCACAGAATGCAGTTTTTGCAGTAAAGAATTCCGACAGCTATCTACTTTAAGTAATCATGTGAAAATCCATACAGGTAATTTAATAATAATCAATATTACATGCTGAAATTCAATATCCTCACTTTTCATCCTCAATCTAGGTGAAAAACCATTTGAATGTAAGTTTCTGACATATTTTGCCAATAAATGATTAATTTAATATTTTTATATCTCCTAAATGACAGGTGTTGTGTGCCGCAAAACATTTCGACAAAGTTCCACGTTAAATAACCATATTAAAATACATACTGGAGACAAATTTGTTATCTGATCGACGCTTAAAGCGCCTGATCAAGACAATGCAGAAAATCCTTGAGAATTGCTGTAAAAATAATCTCATTTATTGAACATTTTAAGTTTTTCCTTATTTATTTAAATTACTTAAGAACGCTTTTCTGATTCGGTTATTTGGATAAGCGGAGGTTGGAGATGATTTTAAAGTGCTGATTGGATGTGGACATTGAGTTGGTTAGATAAGATTGTAAATAAAAGTTTCTGTGGCATTCTGAATGTGATTTCTTCATTTTACATGTGTTTTGTGGGTTCAAAGAGCTGAGCATTTGTGACAAATGGAAGTGGGGCTACGGAGCTGTTCATAAATGATGTCTATCAAAAATCTAGGTATTTATACCCTTTTACAATATTTGGGATTTTCTTTTTTTTTTGTTACCAAAAATCTTATCGTAAATCTAGGATAAATAGGTCATCCTAATCTCCTATGGCTTAGCATCTGCTTCTGTATCACACAAGGTTCAAATAGAGACCGGTTCTCACTTAAAAAGTTCAATGCTTATGAATTCAATTTTCAAAAATCATACAAATGTTTCAAAATCAGGGACTGAAATGTATGAAAAAAATCTTTGATGAAAAAAAATCACTCATTTCAATGAGTAAAAAAATCATGATTTTTTCCATCCTGCGTACATTATTACGTAGAAAAAAATCACGTAAGAAAAATTTTTACGTAGAATTTCATCACTATTAAGTCACTTGCGCTTTAATTTAGCTTCTTCCATGATTAATGATATTTTAATCTGTCATTTAAACAACCAGATACTCGTTAAATAAGATTTTAACTTAATTAAAATATAGTAAGGCATTGGTTCACTGATTCTTACCTTAATGCTCTCCTAAAATTTTTGAAATTTGAAATTTGAGTCCAATTTATGTCATTACTTCCTTTTTTAGTTATTATATCCATACCTGATCGTTGCAATACCTGAATAAACTATTAGCAGCAATAAGCCATTCACATTTAGTTGAAAATTTTATGAAAAATTTGAAATATTTATTTTTGAATGAAATTTGTGTTGATGAAAATGTTTTTTCGTAATTATCATCATTACGTGATGAAGTTTTACGTAAAAATTTTTCTTACGTGATTTCTTTGTACGTAATAATGTCCGCAGTATGGAAAAAATCATGATTTTTTTACTCATTGAAATGAGTGATTTTTTTTTCATCAAAGATTTTTTTCATACATTTTAGTCCCTGATCAAAATTCTCGTTTTCAAACATTTGTATGGTTTTTGGGATTAAATATTGACAATGTGCGGTTCTGAAACTTTATGTTCAAGAACCTTACAATTTCTTTTAATAAAACCGTTCAATTCCAATACAATAAATCATTGCTCTGTACAAAACAAATGAATCCAAATCTCAAAGACATTTTCACATTCAAATGATTTAAATTAATCGTCAAGATTCAAATTCAACCTTGAACTTGAACAATTCTCCGTCGTTCAATCAATAAACTTAATAAATCATTCAGAACGAAATTTAAATTGCTAAAAAAAGTCAATCCATTCCTGATCGCGCAATTTTTGATCATCTTCAACTCCATCCACAGACAAAAAAAAAACAAGTTAAAAGTTATCTGATGAAAAATGATTCCTTAATTTATAACAAAAAAAAGTCTTTCTTAAAAAAACAACAAAAACAAAAAACTCAATGAATTAAATTTAGAAAATATTATTACTACTATTATATTATTTATAGTTACTATCAGTTGCTGATTTAAAGGTTCATATATGTGGATTTCTTACAAACATTTCAAAATTATAAAAAGAAGTAAAAAAATATAAAACACAATGTGATGACGATAAGGATGATGATGAGTCGAGAACGAGTGAAAGAAATGTGAGTGTGAAAGGGAGAGATGCATTAATATTAGAAAATTCATTATTGTTGAAAATATAGGGCATGTACTTATCTTATTATGTATGCTATACATATATTTTGCATCTAAATTTCTAAATTCTTTTTTTCCTTTTTAAAATATTATTAATCTTATGATTTAAATGTTATTTAAGGATTATTTGAGAACAACAATAAGTATTTATTTATAATCTATAAATTTGTATAAATATTCTGAACAGTTATTCAAAAAAAAACATAAAAAGTCAATTTAAGAAGAAAAGTGGGTATGAGAATATTTAAATTGCATGTTTTGGGGTGGATTTAGGAGGTCTTGTGGTTTTTAGCAGTCGTTATTGGATATTAACTCTTCATTTCGCCAAGATAGAAAAGTAAAATTTATAACGGATTTTTGAAATTTGAATTTTAATACCCTTACAAATTATTTTAAATCCAAATTTTACCGGATTTCAAAGAATTTATCCGATAAGTCAAAACAAAATCTATAAAATCCCTAGATCCACCCCAAAACTAGTGTTTATTTAAATAAAATGTTAATTTAGTTTGTAAAAATAACCTTGAGAAATGGTAGTTCTCCAAATTGCTAATTTCGGGACTATTATTCAGTGATGAATCATAAATCATGTTTCCCAATAGAACCTTTAAGTTGCCTAAATTGAAAATGCCGATATTTTCTTAATAATTATAATAATAAGGTGAAAATACAAAAAAGAAAAATGATGAGAAAAATATTTTCAAAGGATCAAAAAAAATTATTGTTATTAATGCACTGATCTATGAGATTTATTAAATGCATGAAAAATGATGATATACTAAAGATAATATACTTTGATACGAATTTTTGGCGCTCGGGCATGGCACAAAGTGTCATTTTGGTAATTAAATAGGAACAAATTGGCTAAAAGTTGATGAAATATTTTATAAACGAGAATTAGCATTTGTTGAAGATTTTTGGATAGCATTTATAGCTAGGAATGTAACAATGTCGTCTGACAGTTGAAAACCATAAAAATTTAAAATTGCAAACCAAAATGCGCTTAAAACCTTACAATTCCGTGTAAAAATGAACAACAATTGTAAAGTTTTGCAGCACTATCCAAAAATCTTTAACAAATTCCAACCTCAAAAAAAAATTCTTTCCACATAAATTTTATTGTTGAAAAACTTTTTCTTCTTAATGTCATTTGAAAAAATAAATGGAGCATTGGTGATTAATGTTTTTTAAAAAGAACACTTGACAACATTTTTAAGCAAAACTAAGAAAATGATCACTTTTAATTGAAAATGAGATTTTTTGAAGATGCACGAATTTGCTGTGGGAAGTTTACTTCTTTGTCTTCAAATTGATTGATTAATGAATGGAAATTTCATTGATTTTTAAGAATTATTGATATAAATGAAGAAGAATGTTAAGTACATAGTGCGTGACTAATAAAGCAAAGTGATGGAAAAAGTGGCAATGGTAATTTTAGAAATCTTGCAACTTAATGTTAGATGATTCGAACCAAGCGATGTGTTCCTACACGGTACATGGAGCTGAAAGCACTGAATCTTGCTATTTAGTTGCATTTGAATTCTGCAATTTAATTCTCATTATAGTCAAGTTAAAAGAGGGGTTATCAGATTTTTCCAATGGACAGGCTTGATTTTCTTCTATGATCGAGGAACATTGAAAACAGAGGGGTAGAGCGGGTTACTTCTTGTCATATCACTTATTTTGAATCAAAGGTACTAAAATGAAACCTATTGTAAGTTTCATTCGGAAATGCCAAAAGAGTGGCTCAGAACTCACTTTAAATTGTAGAAACTAGGGTCAGAACTCTATCGCATATTCTCATTTTTATACCTGTTGGTTGTCAATATTTCGTGAAGCTTTCTTAGAGCAGAATTACGGGTAAACTTTAGAAAGGTAGGGATCTACGCTTAGTGGCGATAAAAGTCTAATTTAGTGTAGGGTGGAGGGTCTATTCTAAGCTAGCAAGGTGTTTGTTTTAAGATAGAGGGTTATGGTAAGATAAGGTGCTGCTCTGTGTAGCTCAAATAGCTTCTTACAGTAGGATAAGGACTAGCCCATCTTTCTTCTTAATTAGAATTGTTGATTGAAATATTTATGAGATTTTGAAGGTTAAATTAGTCAACTTGAACAGAACTAGCGACAGACAAAAAGTGAATTTCCCATAACAAATAATTTTACCAGCTACAACAACCAAGTTAAAATATTAAAAATAATAATTTTTCACATTCTCTTTTTCAAAAAAAAGCGTTCAAAAAAATTCCTTACAGGGCCATAATTATTTTTACAATTGAATAAAAAGAAGATGAAAAGAGTTAATCGTAAGAGATAAAATCTACATATATATATTAAATATATTTAATTAAACAATTTATAATAAAAGAAATGAAGAAACACAATTTTAAGTAAAAAAGTGAAATAAAAAAAAACTTAAAAAACTGAATGAAGAATAAAACAAAAAAAATGTAAAGTTAAGACGTGAAAACGTTCTCGAGAGCTTTTCAAAGGTGACGATGATGATGAATGGATGATGCACGTTCCTTTTTAATAAATTTATTAATAAAACAAAAAGTATGTAAAATTGTGAATGAATGTTTTGAGAAAAATTCAACTTTTTTCTTCTGTGTTTTTTGATGAGTGTAAAATTTATCTATAAATGATTGATTGAATGACGACTAAAGGTAGATATAAAGGAGTATAGGCAACAAAAAATAGAAATTTTTTGAAATTCATAAGAAAAATGATCACTTTTTTTAATTAAAATTTAATGAAATTCACAAAATGTTTTATCTCAAAATTTGTCAGGTTCAAAAAGAAGATAACAAGAAATTGTAGTGCAGTTAATAAAAACACTCAGAACATGAATGAAAAAAAAATAGAAACGAAATTAAATGTATTAATTCAAAATAAATATTAAGACAACCCAAATTACACCTACACACACAAAAATAATGGAAAATGTGAATATATTAAATGTTTTATATTAAAAAAAAGAAAGATTAATTCCGATGGTGTTATTATGATTATTATTTTGAAGCTTTAAAGGTTTTTAGGATTTTGAATTTAAGCAACATCATTTACTAAGTTTTATTACATTTAAAACTATTACAAATCAGTGAAAAGTCATCAACAATTTTATTTAACATTAAAAACTATTACAAATCAGTGAAAAGTCATCAACAATTTTATTTAACATTAAAAACTATTACAAATCAGTGAAAAGTCATCAACAAGGTTTTTTAACATTTAAAATTATTCCAAATCAGTGAAAAGTCATCAACAAAGTTAACCAAGCAGTAATAGTATTCAAGAGATCAAAAAGTCGCACGATTTTTTTATAATTCACATTGCTACCATTATTCCATTGAATTAAAGGATTAAGAAACAAAATTTTCAGAAACTTATGCAGCAAACAGGGATGAGTACAGATCATATAAGTCATTGCATACTCGTAAATGTCTTTACACATAAAAAAAAAACCTTTACCTATTCAGATCAATTGTGATCCAGAGGTGCGCTAGGGCGATTCGCAGCTAATGAGAGTTTAACGAGTGAGGATGCGCCAAACCACTGCACTCAAACCTAGACCTACAATTTATAGTGGAATCCGAACCACTCCTTTGATGACATTTCTGTCTGTAGCCTACAAAGGAAGGCTGTGAGCCTCATTTTCAGTACATATGATTCGAAAAAGAACAAGTGAAAAATTTCCCATACCCAGTCTCGAACCCATGATCGCTGTGTCGGTATTGCAATAATTAGGTACCGAAGTACTAAACCATTCCGCCACCGAGCCACTTCAGCTCACAGAAGCCACTTCAGTCTTTACACATATTCAACCTAAATCATTAATCTTCTAATCTCCACAATCTACAAATCAACAACACTCACCAATAGTTCAAAGAATAAATTAGAGTTCCCATGAC